CGCAGGAGCTGCTGGCGGCTGTTGGCAGGCTGCGTTTCAGCCGAGGCACCTAGATCCCAGGGCTTTTTAATGTGCAGTGAAGTGGAGAGAGCAAACGAAAGCAACGGGGTACCCGCAGCAATGCGCAGGGCAGCCAAGAGCGGGTGATGGAGCGCGCCAGGTAGATGCTCGTATGCAAGCAGCTGTGGAGGAGATGGTAATCGCAGTCAGCTTGAGTGGAGACATGCTATAAATAGGACGTTTGCACCTCTCTGTTTGACTTGGCATGCCTCTTTGCATTCAAGGTGTCACTACATTGTGGTGTGATTTATGTGAGCTCTTAGAAGAAAGGTCTTGTGCTCAAAGATGACTCCCCTCCTCCCGCCCAGTTGAAAGCCTAAACAGCAGAGGAGAAAACTAGAGAAACAAGGGGTCGGGTCGTGTGCGGAGGGAGCCCGACGTCCTGGTCCTTCGTACTGAGGTTGGGTTTGTCTGAGCAGGGTCCGGCGCCGGCGATGCCGGCCTGGGAGGGCTCGGGGCCGCTGGGCTGCGCTGCCGCCGCGTCCCCTTGGCGGGCTGGGTCGAGGAGGCGCCCCCCCCTCCGCAGCTCCCGCGCCGCCGGCTCCCCCTCCCCGGGGTCTCGGGGAGGCCTGGCAGCATCTCGTGAAACTTTCCACTGTTGTCGGTCGCTGCTAAGTTTAGCTGCAGCTCGTGACCTTCAGGGACGGCACTTGCAGGAATAACGGATGTGTTGGCACGACGCGTGTCTGTCGTCTTTTCCTTTGCAGCCATGGAGGTGTCACCGCTTGTGTGTGTGGGGGGGTTTACTTTCCCTGGTGGGGGTGCGCTTCGTCTGGGTGTGTGTCTTCTCCTGAGCAAGCTGCTCTAGCTGACCGCGCTCTGAGCAGGGCGGTCGGGCGAGACCCTCTCCCGAGGTCCCTCCAACCTCAGCCGTCCTCTGACGACGTGGTTTTCCCCAGCTTTCCATGGCAGCTTGAGCACTGAAATCAGGCCAGGTCGCCACTGCTCGCGCGGGGTCGGAAGCCCCCAGCCTGGGGCCCGCCCGGCTACGATCCGAGCCGTGTCCCGGCCCTCCGCCCCCGTCCAGGAGGTCACTCGCTCTTCTGCCCAAAGCACCAGCGTGCCTCTGGCTTTCCGTGCGGTGGGATGGGAGACTCGTCGGGAGTATGTGAGGACTTGCTGCCTTGCTGTGATATTGCTTAACCGCTTGTAATGATCAGAAGGGTGGTTTTTTTAGAGTTCCCAGCCTGGGTTAGTGGAATTCCACTTGAAACGGCATTTAAGAGAAACGGTGCAAACAGGACGCTGCTCGCAGTGCCCGGCAAAGCCCTTGGCTCACGGCAGGGGCACGGCTGCATTCCCGCGTGCGAGGGTGTATTTCAGTTATCTGCTGGGGTTCTGCTGAAGTAGCTGCTCGGGAAGAGCTGCCAAGCGCAGACAAGCCCTAACCAAGCAGGCCACTGCTTTGCATACCCCTCCAGAAGTCCATCCAAATGCTGCCAATAGGCCTGCCCTGCTGTGCAGCCCTCTCATTCATCACCGTGCCCGCGCTGCGGTTGGCAAGGACGTTGCTTGCCCTTTTCAGCTTATAGCAGGATAACATGTCTTAAATTTGCTGCTTATAAATACCTGCTGGCCATTGCATTTAAAGGCCACCAGCAATCTGAGCATGTGTTTTGAGATAGCCTTATGAGGCCAGTGTGTTTGAGTGTCCTGACTGTTCACCTTTCAGACCAGTCCCCCTCCAGGTATTTGGGCGTGCTAGCGTTGCTATTGGACTTCCTTGGTGCTGTCCAAGTCTCCCCTTTGCGCCGCGCAGGCGGGTGCTGGCAGGGCTCTAGGCATGCTGTGGTGCTGCAGAGCAGCAGAGGTTTCAGTATTTGGCGCTCAGCTGAGACAACGCCCTGTCCTTTGCAGATCTTTGAGCCTCCACTAAGTCTTCGCCAGCTTCACTCAAGATGCCACCAGCCATCGGCGGCCCTGTGGGATACACCCCCCCTGAAGGAGGGTGGGGATGGGCCGTGGTCGTCGGAGCCTTCATCTCCATTGGGTTTTCCTACGCCTTCCCCAAATCCATCACTGTGTTCTTCAAGGAGATTGAGGTCATCTTCAACGCGTCTAGCAGCAAAGTCTCGTGGATCTCCTCCATCATGCTGGCTGTTATGTACGCAGGAGGTAAGCAAGCGGGAGACGGCAGTACGTGCTACTGCGCTCCTCAGTGGAGTGGGAGTTAGCTACACCCTACTGCAGTGACAGCAGTCAAAATGCTGCCAGGAGGTCAAATTCTTTCCTCATATGGGCAAAACATCCCTTGACAAGTTTGCTTGAAGGAAGTTTGTCAAAAAGTTCTATTTAATGCCCAGAATGTGAAAAACCGGGTTAATCTGTTCTGCTCTCAAGCTGTAAGTAAAAGCTTTCCGGAGAATTATGACTTGTGTAATTCTACCCTCGTCCTTGTTACAATGTGCCACTGACTATCTGCATCTGCTTCCGACAGCCGCCAGAAGGCTGCTGTGGGCAGCTCGGCTGCATGCAGGGACCCTGTCCAAAGTCTTTTTTTTTTTTTTTTCCTGCCTTAGACAAGACAACCGATCAGCTTACAGAGCTGGTTTTTGAATCCAGCAAATGTGGCTCGATATCAGGATCTGGCCCCAAATTCTGTCCAGTCCCGACCGCTGAACTGTGCTCTGGAGCGGGGTGAGGCTCACTGTTGTCTGTTCTTCCCCGCTGTGGCTGAGCCTGCCTGTAGACAGCTTGTGCTGTTTGAAGGTGGCAGTGTGCACTGGAAGTACAGAAACACGAGCAGAATAAAGCGAACTACTTAAACCGAAGCAGCCTCGGAGACGCTTGCAGTCTAGCCCTTTTATGCCCATGCTGTGCGTTTTATGCTTTCCTGTAAAGCAGCTTGGAGGAGGCAGGCTCAGTGCTGGGGTGGGGCGTTCACCCTCTTTGCTTCTCCGGTCTCTAAACCCCAGTGTCTCGTACCAGCCTGCAGTTTTGCGCTGGGCAGCCTGGCTGAAGGAAACTCCTGCTTGGGACCCCGCTGCTGTGCCCACTTCAGAGGCAAATGGGAGCTTGTACTGCTGCCATCTCGGGGTGGCAAACTGCCCGAGTTTTGGCTGCATTTGTGCATCAAAAAGCTCTGATGTCAGCGGAGCAGCTAAGCATGAGGCTTCTCCTCTGGGAAACAGACCCTGCTTTGTCCTC